GGCTGGAGGAAGGGCAATACAAGTCCTCCGATCAACTTAAAAATACTGTCTGTAAAAAATATCATAGTACAGCTGATACAGGCGTGATACACCTGTGAAGAACTAACGATGACCGGCCTACCTGTACGCACCTGATCTGTGGGCGGGAAGCTCCTTTATGAAGATGTGACGTTTGAGTGGAGCTGAGGAAGGTATGTGTATTAGACCGAAGGCTGCTGTTACACAGCAAGTTGAGAAGACAGTAACTTTGTGCCGGGTAGTGTAGCAAGAGTGGGAGCCACCGCAGGGGGTGATTTCACCATAACTAGCTGCCAAAAGCCAGCTAATTAGTAGATGCTTATGTTAACCAAGGGGCATTGCTGGATGTTATAATTTCCTGCTCAAGAGACTATTACAGAGGTTCAAGTAAAAAAATCTGCAGTGGCACCTTGTAAAAGATAATTCAATCTGGATTCTTGGCAGCTAATCTTTTCTCAAATAGACACAGCCCTCTCCAACGGAACAAAAAAACCCAAACCCCCCACAAAACCCAAGAACAACAATAAGAAACCCTCATCCTGAAATGGGGTAAATTAGTTTAAAAGGTAGTTACTGTTTGGCAGAAAATAACTCTTCTGTGTTAATACTCTGTATTTGAGTTCACTACCTTTTCTTCCTGTAATAAAGCCTAATTTTATTGGAAAAAAAAGTCTTACCAAAATTTGTACAGCAAATAGCCTTATACATTTGAGTAAGTTTATAATGGAGAAGGAAGTTGTTTCAAGAGGTACTTATAAAACAGGCATGTTATAAAACCCATTATGGGCCTTAAGGAAGCGAGTTTGTAAAAGGCAAGGATTATAAAACAAAGTAATTTGTAACTTGCATTTTAAAAGTGTTTTTAGAGTATCATTACCATCATAAAAATACAGCAAGGTACAGAATGTTACTACTGACAAAAATAGAGTAAATACAAAACCTATTAGGAAGCACTGCTTTAAGTTTGACTCTTGAGGGACCTTCTGTATCAAATAAAATATGTATTCTTCCTCTTTTGAACAGAAAAGGGCTTACTGTACTTCAGACAATTTTTTTTTTTTTAAATTATGAGAAAGTCAGCCTTCTGACAAGCCAAATATAATTTACTCATTACTTTGCAACTACAGTAAAATGTTCAGGAACTATACAAAGACTTTAGACAGTAAACACGTATTTAATAAAACTGCGGTTCAGTTACACTGGATCCTTGAAGAAGGAGTTCCCAGTACAACTTCATTGATCTGCTTGTATCACAGAACAGCTTCCAGTTAGACATACACATTCACAACATTCAAACTCATTTGGTCCACCACTAAACTCCTCTTCCCTTTCATCTTGCAAACGTGCATGCTCTCTTGCCTGCCTCTTCAGCAGGCATTTACCTAAAAAATAAAGTAATTACAGTACACTGGAAGACAAGAAGGTATTTCTTTCCGAGATAAAATTATGTAAGTAACAATTTTAAATAAAACTGTTTTTAATTTAGCTAAATGAGACATGCTAAAGGCTCACAAACTTCTATTTCTGAGCAGATTACACATTGCCATTATTACCCAAAAGCTTCCCCACAGCCTTTGCTGGCCTCATGTCTAGTTGAAAAGAAAAAACCATCCAAATGAAGAAAAAAATAATGGGAAGAAGCTTATCCTTTTTCCAGGGAACTGAAATACTGGTGTATGTGCTTTTTGGAATATGAACTTTTTCCTATAAGATTTACAGGTATTAATCACCTGCATGTGTTTTTTTTTCTTGTAACTTTTTGTTATGGTAACAATGGGGAGTGATTCATGAAAAAGAAAAAGGACTGTTTATTTAAGTCTTAAAGTAAATTAAACCATACTATATATACATTCAGTTTTAGATGAAACTCCCACCAGCCAAAGTAATTAATGAAACAGAATTAAAGTTCAGGCAGCTGTAAGAAATTCAAAGACCAGGGCTTTTGTAATGGTTTTTGCCCCCCCTTTTTAAGCAATTCTGATTTTTATGCTGTACTAGAATTCAACATTTGCATAGCTGTATCACTGTGACAGGAAAAAAAAATATTTTTACTAATAGCTATTCAACAACTTCATTAATTTTTCTTCTTTTCTATTGATAAGTATGTACTTTAAACAAAAAAACCTCACATGTCCCAAGATAACTATTACAAATGTGAAGTTTCAGTCACTACTGATCTGGACAGGACTTTTAATTAGCAGCCAAAAAAGATGAAAAGTTCTAAATAGTTTTTTTTATCAGCTGTGTTCAGAAATCTTTGCTACACTTTGTATATCCACTTCTATGCAATTAAAAGTAGAAGCTCACCATTTCTGAGCCAAAACCTTTTAACCCCCCCCCCCCGCCTTTTTTCCCCCTTTACTGAAAGTATCTAACTTTGATTCTCTTCCTGTTATGGTAATTTTTGCAAAAGGAGGACAAACCACTCCATTCTACCTTAACCTTCAATTATCATTGTTATTTAAAAAAAAAAAAAGTTCAAAACAAGATACAGCAGATTTGAAATTACCTTCCTCATCCACCTCCAGCCATTGGTGGTGGACTGGGGCCTCCACCCCAGTGATTTATTCGACCCATCCTTCGGCGAGGATGTGCTGGAGGCCTGAAAAGAAAGCAAGGAAAACAACATCTATTCAATCGGCATTAAATTGTTAAACTAGAAATATAAGAACACTGTCTCTAAATGATAGTAATTAGAAAGTTAGAATCTCTGGAAAAGTTGTTTGGGTTTCATGTGAAAAAGCTTTTAAAAAAAAAAAGAAACACAATCCCACTTTCACAAAAATTCTCTTATGCAAACTGTTCTAATTACTCCTGTCTCACAAGAAAAAGCTACAGCTAACTGAGGCTTTTATGCAGTCCTACAAAAAAGTTAGGCAAACCATTAAGAACAAACACAGTAGCTATGGTGTTTATAGAAATTATATCCCTGTAACAAAGTGTTTTGCTTTATCTGTAGGTAATCTAATACATTAAATGACTGATTTAATGTAAATCAAATGCTGAGTATAAGCAAGTCTAACAAAAAAAGAATTTCAACTAAGATGCATATTGTCTATTAGGCAGGTTTGAAAAATTGTTTCAGTGGGTGTTAGACTATACTGTTATTACAGTTATCCAAAGCTATGTATTGTTATGAAAGAGTTTCAGACAAAATACCGCAGATAAACAACATTTTAGTCTTCTTACATGATCCGATTCAATGCAAATCACAACTGTAGTCTGAATATATTATGTAATTTTGCTAAGATAGGAAAAAAAAAAATCAGAGTATGAAAAAATACCCTCTTCCGTCATTGTATCCTGAATAGGAGGAAGATGTGTAGCCTCTTCTTCTCAAATCTGGTTGAATAATGCTCTGGAAACTGAAAAATAAAACAGGAGTTAGGTGAATTGATTGCTAGATAGAGTTTCTGAATTTTTTGATTGCAAGATAAGAAATGGGCTGAAAATAAGTAGTGTTCAGGAATGAACAGTGTATCTTCTCAAGGTTACTGTTGTTTAATAAATCTTTGTAATTTTTCTTCATACGAAGATAAAATCTGAAGTAATTCCAAATTACAGTTAGGCTCAAATAATAAAATCTATTTTTTCTGCTAAACTAAGTGCAAGAAATGCATAAAGTATAAACCTGTAACTGAAATAATGAAGGACTGTTGAATGCATCTAAAGAAATTTTTGTTTCTTAACCGGCTTTGATCTGGGGCTATAAATTTGTGACTACTGCTGTTTGATTATTTTTACATAGCCAGAATCTACTGTCACCAGCAGAAATTCTCCAAATATCATCTTAATTATTTTATCAGCTTTTAGAAATTAGCTGTTTAACAAAAGTATATGCTTTTTCTTTTTGCAGTATTAAAATGCAAGAAATGTAAGAAAACTCATTTGAACTGCTAGTAAGTTATCATCACTTTTCATATAGTTTTCTTTTTATTAAATATATTATAGTGCTTAATAACCAAAGCCACATAGTCATAGTAAAGCATTCATACATATTTTGGGGACAGTAGATATGGAATGCTGAAGAGTAAATCTAGTATTTTTATTGTTGTGTGACTGATAGCACTGAGTAGCTTCTACCTATGGCAAATATAAAATAAAGCTTATCAAAAGAATTAATTTCTACTTACAACAGAACCACAAAATCTGCTATCGACCAGAAGAAATCTGTTATAGATGACAAACGCCAAGGTGCCCGACTCTGGTTATCCAAAACCTGTCCTGTGAGGTATCAAGATACAAAACATCTAGTGACGTTGTGTGTGACACTGTACAGTATATCACATAAAAACACATCTGCTGAGTCCAGAATTTGCAAACAGGATGGAGAAACTACACTTCGTGGGCCACAGCAGCAAGTTCCATTCCCCACAGGGTGTTGTCCAAGTACTTGAACTAATGGGGTCACCACCACCAGACACACGCTGGGTCCAGGTAAACCTACCAGAAACACCAGCACAGTCCCCTTCCCTGTACGCGGTTAAGCTGCTTCTCCGTTACGCTCCCGATATACGCAGAACACGCTTCGACTTTTCCAAGTCCTTAAAAACCGTAGAAGCGCGGGGGGCTCACATCCAGGCCGCAGAGAAGCGCCTGGATGTGGGCTTGATCTGGTAGCGGCAGCGGGCGAGACGTGCTGCTCGCTCAGGGCGGAGCGCCGGGCTCTGCCGGGCCGCGGGGGCAGCGCTCTGTCCAGCGCAGGCCCG